TTGTGCAACGTACCTACGAATGAAAATGAAAACGAAAAATAAATGATCCGTTCCTAAATCAATTTAATATGACACACGCAATATCAACTTTGTTTTTCTGAAGTGGCGAACGAGCCATTCAATTGGAAACGTATCAATTTATTTTATTGAAAATTAACTTTGTTACGATCAGATTGACGATCGTTGGGGGTTGAAAGTATAAAGTCTCGAGGGTTTGGTGTCGCGTACCCTTCGAAATGACCCAGCATGAATCGTCCATCCGAGTGGCGCGATGTTGGATGTAATCGGATTCGGATCCGGGCAGCGTCGATCGCGCATTTCATGCACGTGCGTCGGACAAATGAGATTAGTCGGGTGACGAAAGTGTACGGCTCGGAACGGAACCGATCGCGGCCGGTTGAAATTCCACGATGACGCAGAAGGAAAAGTGGCCGGTGGAACAGTTACTCAGGGATCGAGACCCGCGCTCTATTTGCTGCCAGCACCTGAGAATTTCTTGCTGCACGCGAATCACAAAGAGTCCTCGCTGGCTGATTGGCCCGACGTGAGATCGATTCACCTAATGAAACCACCTGAGGTATAAGGAAACGCGGATCTCCGCGTCCCGTGTTACACGGCGAAAGAAAGTAGCCTACGAAATACGAAGAAATCAATTTCACCGAACGACCGTACGCCGACGGACTCTAAAGGACAATGCTTGAAAATGGCCATTTTTGGTGCTCGTTGGGAAAGAGGAACTACATCCGTAGGGTAAAGCGTTTCCCAACCTCTTTTGGCTCGTATTCCTTCGTATAAAATTCCCACAGAGAATTATGTTTATTCTATAAGTTAAACAGCGTTTGAAACTCGCGGTATTGGCGCCGTGCGTCTACTGGTCACGCGCTCTGGCGGCGAGAACCAATCACGCGTTTTTTCTTGCATTGCTTTTAATGGGAGACTCTAGAGGCTAAAATAAGACGAAAATCAAGAATACCAATTCGTTGATCGAGGCTTCTTTAAGAAGTTATTAATGTTTAAAGTTCGACAGCCTTACAGTTTTCTGACTGAGAGCCACTATCGTGCGCGCGCAGCTGTTCCTAAGTTGCCGTTCTACAGGCGGAACTTCAAACTTGAATAACTTTATAACGAAGCCTCAATCAACAAATTGCTATTCTTGATTTTCGTTTTATTTTGGCCCCCAGAATCTTCCATTAAAATTTTTCCCAGGGGTGGTCGACCACCCTGTATAGACACAAGACTGTCGGATAGAATTGCTTTCGAATTCATGTGACTCCCCCAATCGTTTCAATATAAATATTAACACTTCGTCTGCCTCTTTCTCTGTGATCGTTTAAACACAAATCGAACAAATAACAGGTCTATCCTTCGTTCATTGTTCGAGCAGATAATTTTGCCCATCTCTGCGTCTAAATGCCGCGAAGACGTCGAACGGTCTGGCAGGAATGAATGGATCCGATGTCACGTGGGCACGGGTCCCGGAACGTTTTTTTTTTTATCATTCGAGGCTCATCGTGAATTGCGCGGCACTTATAGCGAATTCGTAGGCGTTAAATTATGTTTCCTTAGTCAATTTACTGTTAGTGCTTGTTCGATATAACCTCCATCGACCAGCACGGATCGCATATTTACGAGCGAGCCGTAAAGCTCGCTTAGACGCGTGTGTTGCACTATTTGCTACGATAAATTGGAGCAGGCCAACTTGTCTCGTGCTTGTAGGTTTTACGGAATGATCATCCTTATTGGCGGTGATAACGATCGTCTGTCGGAATAATTTACAACAGCACGCGTAGGAGACGATATAGAAAAGTTTCTGTTTTCCGTTGCGTCACGCGGATTTTAAATAATTGCTCGATATCGGGCATCCCAGTTTTCTAAATAATAACTGGCTGTTCGTTTGCACGAGGAAATTAACGATACGATCCCAAACGACAGGTAGGAAGCGAAACTGTCGTTTTTATTATGGACTACGCTTCATTTCAGTTTGAAAGGTCAGCGCATGCGCACCGGGGAACTTTCACGGTACGCATAAAAATTTTCGAATGCATCGAACTGTACTTTCCGCGAATTTCGTACGCTTCCTACGAGGCGCGTGCAACGCGAAACCATGTTTACTCTATGAATCAATTTATATTCCGGATGGAAAGGTCAGCCGCGCCACTCCGCCGCGAACCTATAGTCGTTCGAGTATCTGAAAACAGTGATTCATTCACGGTTCGTTCGCGTAAACAAGGGACGTGGGCCGATTGACCGACGCCAATAGTAAAAGTGTTGCAACGTAACACTTTTTCCCGATGAATCACTCGACGATTATAAAAACGAAATTCGTAACAGGATTTTTTGCGCGTGACGCGATCGTTGCCAACCTCCTTTCATCACGGTCGATCGAGTCAACAGGTTAATCGGATAGGCGTCGTTTCAATAACACCCGTTCTGTTGCAACTCTGGTAACAGGCTGGTATGCTAACTATCGTGCCCACTCGACTTTGGGAGATTTGTTTATTGGACCAACTTAAGGAGATATTTGGAGGCGTCGATTTTCAAAACAAAGAATTATATAATTACAATTTTTCAAGGCAACGCAACACAATTTCTGCGTAATAATCTTTATTATTACTCAAGTTATTGCACGTTTCCTGCAGTCTATTGTTTTGAACGGCTGCCATGATATCTAAAGAATGGATCGATGAATCCTCTTCAAATCTTTCACACGTATTAAGTAGATCCCCCATTACTGGAAGAAGTAAACGATTCTCTGTAACTCTTTGCTTTATGTGGTGGCCATTTTGTCGAACAAATTCATTTTAGTTAAAATGTGTACAGTACATTTTAAATTGTTTTAACCCTTAACTCTTGAGGACATAGTGACAAATTAAAATAACTAGATTACTAGATAAATAACTAGAAAATGGTTCTGCAACGTGGGAGTATTTTACTCTAAAAATGAGCGTTCGAAAGAGTTGATGGACGACGTCGGTGCGTTGATCCTGACATTATCGAAGTCGGAATGGCTGCGTCCAAGCTTGTTCGTGTTCGAGCGTTAGTAAATCGGGGCCCCTGCACCCGGTCATCATTTTCAGAAATCGGACATCGTTATGGAACTGCCGGTCAGACGAACAGCCATCGCGGTCTTAAACTTTCTCTGGTTTACTCTCGCCCATTCGAACTAATAGGTCCGCATTACCCCATTTTATTGCCTCGTAATTTCCATTTCAGATGTCAGAAAACCAATATAAAGGGTTCGCGCGAAGATATCGTCCGGAGGAGGTCGACGTCGACCGTGGTCAGGGCCAGTTTTGCAACTTATTGCCCTACAAAGTGGTTTACGATTCAAAAGGAAAGGGACGAGGGGGGGTCCCCGATAGCGCAACCGAGTTCTCTCGCCGGTGGAGCATTAGCGTCCACCGTGGGGCCCCGACTCTTTCGCGGAGTGCACTGTATAACCAGTTTCAGTGATCTAAGCTGGTTATCACAACCGTTCCCGTTTGCTTTGCTGGACATAATTTACGTTTTTCTGAAAATGTCTACCGGATACCGGGCCCATTAAAACCTAACCGCTGGTTGTCGGCGATTATGGTTCACTGTCAATTATAACCAACCCTCCTCTCCTTTTTTTCTATATATTTTTTTCGCCTATTTGGCTAGGAACAGGTTTCACGCGCACTGATATCGCTTCTAAAAATTGGGAAGAAGATTTCGCGCGGTTCGACGAGCAGGAAGTCAGAAAGTGACGAATATGAACAAATGCAAAATTTATTTCGTATCGTATTTTAAAAAATATTTTAATTTCTCAAATTTCAATACAAATTGATCCTGGTCCGTTACTCGTTAAGTGAGAATACAATTTTCATTTATAGAATTAAATATTTTGCAATGAACAGGAGGTGAGCGCGTTCTAAGAATAGTAGGTATATAGTCATTAACATGATCTAGGCCTGAACACGGTGGGTAGAACTATCCTGGACAGACTATAAACAAGTTCTCAGGAGAATTAATTAAATATAACGAACGTAATCTTTCTCGCTTATATAATTTATGGAGTCATGGTTAAAATGCATAATCGTTACGATCAGTTAACAATATTGCAATTGCACCGGCTAATACCGGCAAAGATAATAATAATAAAATTGTTGTAATAAACATTTTTTATATTTAAAATTGTGCACTTTCAGGAAACGTAGAGCCTATTTGTTATAAGTTTTTTTAAACAAGAATATAAGAAAATTTTTGAAGCTGTTGGAATATGCTTTTTGTAAATGATATTACGATCGAGTAAATTTATATTTTTGGAATAAAATTTTGCCTGTTTCTACCCTATGTGTTCACCATATTATATACTCGAGAAGTAGAAGATATACGGTCACTAATATGCTTCAGATTCGAATATGGTGGATCATAGAACTGTCCTGGGCATACTATTTAAACAAGTTCTCTGGAGAATTAATTAAGCACGGCGAGCATAATCCTTCTCACTCTTAGCGTGTTGAATTGAAGAAATTACATGGTGAAAGCATACATATTGCTTCGAGGTGCAGAATATTAGATTTATGAGATTTATAGTGCGAATATTCATGTTGTGCTCATTTAACTTGCAACTCGAGGTTGAAAAGGGAAAGGGAGGAGTGAATTATATACAAATAAATATAAAAAAAATGATAGAATAATCGAATACAGCCATATAGCCATTTGAATAAGAAAAACTAGGTTCACCCCTTATTGCATGAATTTCATTGTATTCTTTGAAAGAAGAAATTATTTATTGGTTATTTAAATATTTGTGAATCTAAAGATTTTGATATACTGAGTTATGGAAGTATTTATATTCTCCCCAAGACTCCCCAAGACGATCGAGAGTTAATACCTCACAAGTGGTTCTCCAAAAACTTGCATCATCGTTTCATAGAAATTAGAAAAGAATTCATTCCCAGAAGAAAATTTTCCAAAACGATCAATTCTAGACATACTCAAGGCAGTTTTATTCAAGGAATTTACTCGCGACTTACCCGGATAACCCTCTGGGATGACTATTTCCGGTCCCACCTTGACGTCGTGCCTATACCGATGTATCAATAAGGTAGCAGTGACTCGTAGCGATTTCTGTTGCTGCTTATAGAGCAACACCGGTCTGCCACTAGTGCCCTCGAGCCTGACCACTCTGGGCAACGAGAACCGATCGAGGAACTCTCGAAGGGGCATGTAACTGCCGCTGGAACTGGAACTACCCTCGGCTGTCGCCTCCCTGGAACTTGGCAGGGACTTTGGCAGCGAGGGCACCTCTTCGCTGGACATCGTCGAGAACTCACCGTGCGACGACATTGTTCTGGCGCACTTTGACCGCGCGTTCTACGACCAGATCGGAAACGAGACCAGTCCCCTGGCACTATCGCGCATCGTTAGACCTAGACAGAGTCTAAATCAATATTCACTAGAGACCAGCTACGCGGGGAAACCTTTTTGGTACCGCACAGGAAGACTTATCGGAACGACACGTTCAACCTCACACGAACAGATCTCGCGTATACTCGGAACAACATATTTTTTCTCTCTTTTTATCCGGTACGGGAACTCGGCAATTAGCTCGGAACACTTTCCTCGATCGTGTCACTGCCGGTGTCTGGCCGTGGCTGTCACTTTCCACTCAGCCGGTCGTAGAATACGAACTATCACGATTCCACCTGAAAAGGATCGTGCAATACCAGGATTCATTCACTGTACACTGACTGTTACCGCGAGCAACAGCACGCAGTGAGACCAACGATCACGGTACGACCGAGCGTCCTTGCGAAAACATGGATCGGGGTCGTTCAATCTCTGGCGTTACGAATCCTTAGCACCGCGTCGACTCTTTTCTTGAACGCCTTGGTGTCCTTCGCGAACTGTCCGCCGTGGACGTTGCACCGGTCGCGTCGAACGATCATCTTTTCCTCACGCGCGATGATTCCAGGGAGGAACAACCGTTGCGTCATTCTACCCGAGCAGCTGACTCGGTCGATCGCGTCGCGATTTCGACGATGGGTCCACGGTGCGATCAAAGATTCCGCGGAAAGACGGATCGCTCTGATGGCACCCGATCCGCTGGTTCGTCCAACTGTTCCTTCTCTCTACGGGAAAGAGGTGCCCCGCGGTTCGATTCCCGTGGCGTTTATGATTTAATGTAGCTGGGTTTTATCTCCTCAGTATCCAAGAACTCTCGAAGGGGCACGTAACCGCCAACCTTCAGACTCCTGGGTAGCCGGGTCTCGACTGCATTCCGGTAGTCCTGGATGCCAGAACATTCGAGTATCAAGGAGTCTGAAGCTGCAGTGGCCCACGAGGCACGTGCAACATCCTAACCGATGTATCGGTTTCCAGGACTATGACTAAAAGAATTTTCTCTTTTCCGCAGGAGTACCCGATCCGTCGAGGGTCCAAGTGGAGGAGGCGAGTTTCGCAAAAGAATTTTTTCGATGCACGGGTCACAGTGGTCGCGGAGGCGCTGTGCAGACTCCGGGGAAGAACCGATCGAACCGGCGGACGCGAAGTCACTGAGCCCAGCGTGACTGAGCGGAGCGTAAGAGGCCCGCTGACACCAACACGCTCGCAACTTGTATCGAGCCGCCTCCACTACACGTACCACTGTCAGTGGCCGTACTACCAGCATCGCTTGGCGAACTTTGCCTGGAGTACAGGCTAACAGAATACGCGCCTATGCGCGGCCGACCTACGAGAAGTGGGCTTATTCAATACAGGTTCCATTGTGTTCGGGGAGCTGTTCAGTCTCCGACAGCGGCGAACCGCCCTTAATAGTTTCTCTGGAAACGTAATCGGGTGTGGTAAGTGAAGTTGCTGCGTGTACGCGTCTCCGGTTACGAGTATCAATAGTTTGACAGCGTACAAGAGCGCTGATACTGTTCGCTACCGGCGAATTAGCCGGAGAGTTGCATGCGTGGTTGGAGTCGAGCATTCGCGGTTTTTGCGTTGCTCGACGCCCCAAACAGAAGGAGATTTTACCCGAATCTTAGCAAATTATTATAACCAATTACCAACCTCTCACCAGTCGTCTAAAATCATAAATTCAAAGTCACAGACAAATGATGCAGTTGGTTGTGCTAATCATACAGCAAAAAAATCAACTGCTGTAAAACAATAATTGCAAGGGTACCCTATTTTACCTAGACAATATTTATTTATAGCACAGATACCATTTGGTAAACAAATTTTCATTTTTTGAAAGTCTTACGGGGACGATTTCAGGGATAATTTAACGCCTTAAAAAGTAGCCCCCGGCAACAAATGCACAAAGAGAAACAGGATCCTTCTAAAAGATGATCCAAAGTAAAACTTTATGGCGCCTGTGAAACCCGTCCTCGCGTCGCCTTCCCTTATACAGTTATCTCCGACACTAAAGGGAAATGGTACATGGCCCATTTCGCTAAATGTATATTTAATTGTATCGTTTCATTCGCTATACCCCTATTTTCGATTCGCGATGCACGCCACCAGATAATAAAAATCACGAAGGAACGACAATGGTACCTGGGAAGCTTGGAAAGTGGAACGACCTTGAGTTTCATTGTCGATCAGAATCCACCGCGAGAACAACGGGCGTTCTCGGTTGCGTCACAGTTGGGAGTGATACGAGTTCGCACGATTCTTTCGCGACGCTTTTTTTTTCTTTATTCGCGAGAATCACACTCTTTTGTTCGTTGATTGCGTATGTCACGGCGCGTAACAACGGCGTGGAAATCGCGTTTCTTGCCACACCGTGAAACGCGAGACGCTTCAGGGACAGTCTTCGAATCAATGGTACTCGTGATTTTTAGAATATTTTACGGGGAAGTTCGTTCGAACGGTTCGTTCTTATAGAAAATTACGTCGCTCGGCGAGCCATCGCGATATTCAAAGCATTGGAACGGCGCTGCTAATGGGCCAGGCAAAACCAGCACAGCTCATCTTGATAAACATTTATGAGTACAAAGTCGCTGGACTCCCGTAGCTTCGCAATGCATTATAGTAGCATTTATTTGACCGTTATATTTCTTTATGGCTTGTTGGACAAGATTCCTTGGGCATGCATAAGAAATCGGTACCATTGAGACCCCTATCGTGGTCGTTGTGTCTCGAAAGGAGTCGCGTCGTGCGTGTTATTTTTTTAAAAATACATATTAATAAACTATTTAGCCCATTAACATCCAAGCAACGATTAAATATCGGTTTAGCGCTATGAATGGTAAACTACAACGTATCCCAAGTTAGGTATCGCGCTATAAAGTATAGGTTATGCAGTTTGCAATTGCTCAAAAGCAAGATGGCGTCGTAGAAAGTTGCACAGATTTGGTCCGGCAACCGACGTGCTAAAACTAAACAATGAGCTCTCAAGGATGCTATAGAAAATAAATCTACATAATTAAATACTAATGCTCAAAAGCAAGATGGCGTCGCAGAAAGTTCCATAGAAAATAAATCAGTACAGGACTTATTCTCTACAAAGTTACAAGAATAAATACTACGACGAAGTTTAGGTCACGTAGATTCCAATTGCCAAAAAAACAAAATGGCCTCCTAGTACCGGAGATTCGGTTTAGTGGTTCGATTTCTAAAGTGATTGCAACGTTTGCGCGACCGAACGAATCCGAATTCTAGATTCCGGGGAATCCGTTGATCCTAGGAACGGATGGAAGGTCGCTGCACGCGTAAGCAAGGATACGTGAAACGTCGAGTTTATTAATACCGTCGGTAGCGATGTCACGGTCCATTTAATTCTATATTTACCGCGGTCGCGTTTAGTAGGTACGCGAGATAGCGTACTAATCTGTGGAAAGGATCAGTCAAGGCGAGCCGGTGGGTCCATCGAGATCGCGCAACGACGATCTTCCCACGGTAAGCTGGCTGCCGGATCGTCGGAAAGAAGCGTAGCCGCCGCGGCGCGAGCGCAGCCTTGCAAGGACAAGGACGCCATTTTAGATGTAAGCGCGCAAACAATTATTATTACCCGGTGAGCCAAGGGTGTGGCGGCATCGGTGTTTCTCTCTGAAGACAAAGCACGCCTGGACGCCTGGCCGCGATCGAGTGGCGGTGGTGGTGATGGTGGGAGGGGGGAGGGAAAGAGAATCGGCGCAAGGGACGATGGAAAGTGGTATGAAGATGCAGAATGCGCGATTAAGGACTTTTACGGGGCCCCAAGGTCAGGGACGAGGAATCGTAATAGAGTGCAACAATTATTTCACGCGTTTGTCTCTTCAGCCGCGAGCGGTACAGTTGCACCGCGAGCACTAAAGAATCGCTCTGAGCGACGTTCAGAATGCGAACGAAATCAGTCTTTTCGACCATAAATTATGTGTCGAGATAGCAACGATAGTCTCGGAGCTTCGTGTAACGTGAAATTTTGATCTATAGGGAAAATAATCGTTTTCAAAAAATTTGTTCCACCTCTTTCGTGTATCAGAAGTATTAGCAGTACAATAGAGTTACGAATAAATGGCATATTTACCCCGATCGACAGGGGCTTGGTGCAGAAATTTTTCGACAAAATTAAAAAATTTCAAATCGTTCTAAAAAAATTATTTTCAGTTGCAGGGGTCAATTACAATCATTTTTGGTCGATAGACATACCCCAGAAATCCTACTCACTTTTGAGAAAAAAATTCGAGTAGGTGCCTAAATTTTTCGACAAAATTAAAAAATTTCAAATCGTTCTAAAAAAATTATTTTCATTTGCGAGGGTCCATTACAATCATTTTTTGTCAATAGACATACCCCAGAATTCCTACCCACTTTTGAGAAAAAAATTCGAGTAGGTGCCTAAATTTTTCATCGAAAAAAAAAATTTCAAATCGTTCTAAAAAAATTATTTTTAGCAGTGGGGGTCAATTACAATCATGTTTGGTCAGTAGACATATTCTCGAAATCCTGCGCAATTTCGAGAAAAAAATTCGAGGAGATGTGAAATTTTACGACAAAATTAAAAAATTTCAAATCGTTCTGAAAAAATTATTTTCAGTTGCAGGGGTCAATTACAATCATTTTTAGTCAATAGACATACCCCAGAATTCCTACCCATTTTTGAGAAAAAAATTCGAGTAGGTGCCTAAATTTTTCCACGAAAAAAAAAATTTCCAATCGTTTTGAAAAAATTATTTTCAGTTTAGGGGGTCAATTACAATCATTTTTGGTCAATAGATATACCCCAGAATTCCTACCCACTTTTGAGAAAAAAATTCTTTAACGAAAATATAATGTCCAAGAGTATTAGGAGTACTAGGAATAGAATACCAGGAGTGTTATGAAAGTTAGAATTGTTGGAAGAAGTATGAGAGTTAAAAGCATTAGGAGGTCTGTGAGTGTTCGGAAGAACTGGAAGTATTAGAAGCAGTAAAATTAGTAGCAGTGCATTGCTCAAGAGTTTCGTGAGGACTAGAATTATTGAGAGTATTAGAAACATTCCAAT